TTCCGAACAGAATATTCTGTAAAACACTTGCGTTGAAAACCCACGACTCCTGCGATACATAACCTATGGATCCGTTCGTTGCGACCGAACCTCCAGTTATGGACAACTCATTCAACAGTGACATCAAAAATGTTGTCTGAATTGCAATATTGAGTACAATTACTGTATTGATGTAATAATTATAATAATGATAATACCATACCTTTCCGGCGCCTACGGGTCCGATAACCACAACTAAATCTCCGGATTTTGCATTCATTGAGATGTGTTTTATAGTCGATTCTGTCGATTCCTAACACAATATTTAAATTATTTTAAAATTAACATAAAGTAGATTGTGATACAAAAAACTCACTGTTTTCCAATTGGCTGACATTTCACTAACAATTACATTATAATTGTCTATTATTTCATCGCTATTATTGTAATTCGTATTATTATGGATATAATTGATTTGATTATTTTTATTAATAACTAATTGTGTATTTTCATCAATTTTGTTTATTTTTCTGATATTGATTTCTTCCAATAGTAAGAAACTCTAAATTAATTACAGTATCTCTTAATCATTACTGTTTTATATAAATTATATAAATACCTGAAACCTTTTACACGACACCCACATCTCTGCTAGATATCCAAAAGTGATGGGAATAATACCAAGATATGTATAGCTCAGATTATTGAATATCATTATGGTTATAAATATGGGCTCAGCCGACACCTGACCGCCTAATAGTATGTAAACTATTATAACAACGAAATAAACAAATTTTGAACCAAAAATACAAAGGCAAGAACTCATTGCTTTTATATGTAGCAGGTTTTTAATCTCATTCATCTCTTGGCTTTAAAAATTTAAAACAACAAATTGTGAGTTAATTATTAGTATTATTAGTTATATAAAGCTTCAATACCTTCGGGCGCGACCGATAGCCCGGGCGAAGGGCTGCTCCCAGGCGTACATTTTGATTAATTTCATGGCTTTTATTATTTCATTCATTAGACGTATTCTGTAATCCGAAAGTCGACTAACTTTTTGCCTAAATATTTAAATTAGTCTTGAAATTATTTTTTCTCTCTCTCTCTCTCTCTCTCTCTCTCTCTCT